CCTGTCAAGCTTGGGACTCAAAGTGGGGGCAATTTGTAGACACTAAAATTTTAGTGAACTTTGGTTTTGACAAATGGGCCCATTAAATATGGACCTAATGTTTAATTAAGTTATTTAATTGGCCCAAATTTGGTCCACTTAAATTATTTAATTAAGCTCAGTCCATATGGTTAAATAAAAAGAATAATTATTCCTAATAAAATATATTTGGAATAATTATTTTTAAGGATAATTATCATAATATATCCGGCCCGGCTCAGTTATGATATTTTTCTTATCAGAGAGAACACGTGTCATCATTCTATGAATCCAATAAGCCTATAAATAAAGGCATGGAGGAAGGGAGAAGGGATGCACAAAGTCAGAATTTAAAAATCTAGAATTCCAGAGAGAAATACAAAAACTCTCATCCCCAACATCCAAACCCAAAAGAGAAGAATATCAAGCACATCAAATCATGCCGTTTTTCATCAAATTCCACGGTGATCAACAACAAGCACAGCCAAAGACGTGCCGTTCTTCTTCATCAAATTCCACGGTGATTCAAGATCAAGCTTGTGCAGCCCTTGGATCCAACCAACCAACAGAAAAAGGAGATTTAATCAGAGGATCAGTTCTATTTCTTTTGTAAAGAATATTACAGAGGATTGTACTCAATTTCTCAAATTAATAAAATTATATTATTTGCTCCATATTTTGTTTCTATTACAGACTTACAAAATTTGTGTGTACAGTGTCTTTGTGAAAATGGACCTAAATACAAGAGATAAAATAAAATGTAAAACCCTACTAATATACCAAATAAGATAAATAAATAAAAAATAGTATCTAGAATTAAAAAATGATGATCCTCATGATCCGTAGCCTCCTTGCCCATTTAAGGTTTAGAATATACATCTTAAAAACCTGTAATTTGTAGTATCAATCTCGTAGTCAAAGGTTTGAAATATTGAATATCCAGAATCTAAAGAGGCCAAACTAGAGAATAAAGATTAAGCAGACGAGACAAAAACAAATTGGTGATTTAAATTCGATTTGCATAGTACAATCATCTGTGCCAAAAATCATAAATAAATAAATAAATAAAAATCTTTATGTTTGTGAAAAAAAGATTTTAGAGTTTTACTATCTACGGTATTGTCGTAAATCCCATTATAAAATTCACATGATCACACAACGAATATTGTATATGGTCACATATATGATAACATTTCATAAGATATAAGATTAATCAATAAGTGTATAACTATTGAATCGAATTTAAAATATATTTAATAAGTTATATATAAGATTAAATGTGAGAAATTATTAAATAATACAATCCAATCAAAACTCTTTTATTAAGAAAAATGAATTCTTCAAGATTTAATAAGATAATTTTAATAAATAAATAAAACCTATATAGAACTCTCTAATATTACAGTGGTATTGATCCATTTTAATGGGGCATAATTGTCATGTATCTTATACGCGCAAACCCAGTAATAAATGAGCCCTCCCCACAAGGCACGAGGTGGTCCTCTAATATACCACTAACAAAATGAGTCAATTTTGGAATTAAGTTTGAGTCAATTTTATTTCATTTCATTTAATTTTTGTTAGAGTATTCAATTATAGTATCAATCAAAAACCAAGGATCACGGGAAATTTGTTATGTAGTTCAAATTGGTGGGTCCAAAATTTCCAATTTTTCCACCCACCATCATGACTTCCAAATATTAATTATAGTTTAAATTACCTTGACTTATTTGATTCTTTTGCCAATTAATTAAGAAATACCCAAGGCGTACACCATATGAAACCTGGGTTTCAAGGGGCCTTCCCTTTCATTTTCACATAAACGCGCTCCCATAGAATATATATGTACATGTATATGTATATATATGTATATGTATGTAATAGAGAGCGAGAGAAAAAAAAAATACTAAAGAAAATTTTTAAATGGGACCCTACATAATAGACTTTTATGTGTAAAAAATATAAAAAATGATAAATATCACTAAATATTGACCTCTATTATTATTTTTATTTTTAGTACGTGAATCGGCCCCATAATACATGCACTATTCAAGTTAGGAATTCAATATGAACACTACCAAAGTCACTATGTCTCTAAAAAAATATTACCCTCTACCTCTCCTTAGTGAAAACATACTTATTTTATGAAAGTTTTTTTACTCTTAATTTATGTACATGTTGAAGGGTTGGAGAGCTAAGTAATTGAATCATTGGCACTTGAATTGACGCTTTATAAATAAATTCATTTTTGCAAATAAGTTTAATTTTGACAATCTTCAAATTAATCCTTGCAATTATCAAATTCTTAACTATTTTTCTTCATGTCTGGAATGATAGAGCCCCACATGTGAGATTTTTCATAGACGGTTGTGAGCCAAGATCTATTCAAATATTAAATTAAACTTCCAATATTAAGAAGGTTACCAAACATTTGTCGGTTTCATTTTGATCATTATTTGTTACTATTATTTATTGAATGAGCATCCTAATCATAAGAGATATTTTAACCAGTCACCAAAGAGTTTAGCATAATTGCTAGATTTACTATACCTTATTCATCTATGCATGTTAAATATAATAAAATGAGATCCTTCACTTCTTTATCTCATGCACTCATGACCAATTATATATATTAGATTTAACAATTTTGTCAAACTCTTTTTTGCAAGACTCTACTTTTAAAAGTATCAAGTGCATATACAAATAAACTATGGGTCTATTTGGCTAGGCTTTCTGGAGCCTCAAAACGGGATTTTAAGCCTAGAAAATTCTTTGTCAATAATAAAGAACGTCTCAGTGGTAAGCAATAAGACATACTTTTTGATCGACTTTTCGCAAGTTATACACTTTTTTCAAGTAATAAATATAAAATTCTTATATGGTCTATTATTTAACCTATTTCTATTTTTATTTTTATTTCTATTTCTGAATTCTATTGCAAACTTTTCTTTTCTCTTTCTCTTTCTCTTTCTGTATCATTTCTCTACCCAAAAATAAAAAATAAATTTTAAAATGTTGAACAAAATTTCACAGATCTTTACTAAAAAAAATATTTTGATAATTAAAAGAACTTCAAGAAATTATGTTGATAATTAAAAGAATTTCAAGTTAAATTATGTTGATAATTAAAAGAACTTCAAAAAATTCATCTACCAAACAACTTTTTTGTTTTAAATTCTTTTCATCAAAATACTTTCTCTAAAGCCGATTCAATGGAAGGAATTTTAAAAACTGGGAGCTCCCCCAAACAAGGCCATATATATATATATATATATATAGACATTTGTTAGTTTTACTTTATTTGTAAAGGATTAAGTGCAAGAAAAACCCTTTGTTATATAAAAAATATGTAAGAAACACCCCTATTAGAAAGAAAAAAAGTGCATATAACTCCTTATATTATTCATCTTTAGAGCAATTCACCCCCTATTAAATAGATTCATTGAAAAAGAGCAGTTGGTGGCATCATTTTTTATAAAAATTCCAAAATTCCAAAATGGCCCACTATCGCCGCCATTGCCACCACCACCATCACCTTTCATCACCACCACCACCACCTTCCACCACTGCCTTTCACCACAGCCACTACCTTCCACCACCACCGCTACCGCATTCTATCTTCCATCACCACCACTGCCGCCGTAGCCGCCACCTTCCAACACCACTACCGTTTTCCACCTCTACCATCGCCATGGCCCCCATTTATTTTTAAAAAATTATAGAAAAATGTCATTTTGTTAATTTAATTTATTTATTACTATAGGGGATATTTTGTAGGGGTGTTCAAAAAATTCGGTAAACCGAAAAATCGGACTGAATTGGGTGGTTTAGGCTAGTTGTATAGCGGTTTGGTCTGATCCTGGACCCAAAATTATGGAACCGTAATTTTTCGGTCCGGTCCTGGTTTAGAGTCGTGCTGAACCGAACCAGTCCGGACCGAACCGTTACTATGTTATTATATATATATATCATATCATAAACCTAAATCAAATAAAGTTCTCACGTGTCCCTTTTCTTTCTTTTGTTATTTAAATTCCTTAAATTTCTTTTAAAAAAAAGTTAAATTTCTCTTTTCAAATATATCTCAATTTTCTTTCCTTTATTTCTTCTTAAAATTCTTTTTTTTTTTTTTTTTTTTTTGCCCCCACTAAATTAAAATAAAATGAAAAGGAAATCAACTGAAACCGACAAATCGAACCGAACCAAACCGATTTTTCGCGGTTTGGTTTGGTTTCATGGACATTATGGTTCGGTCTAGTTTCAAAAATAGTGGAACCGTTATAAATGGTTTGGTCCCAAAATACTTTCAATCCGATTCAAACCGGACTGTGTGCACCCCTAATATTTTGAAAAACTCAATATGAAATTTATTCCATTCTAAATTTTAAATTGGTTCAACCAAAAAATTGAATGGTTATTATCATTCTATTTTTACACATTTCATATTTATAACAAAACCATAGAATAAGAATGACCATTGCATTCCATTCCCATTTGCATTCCATTCTCATTCAATTACCACTTGCATTCTATTTCATTCATGTACACCAAATAAAAGAACATATGCTCTTTAACTAATTTCAAGTGACAAATTTTAAATTTTGCGGCTCTCTTGCTCGCATTTTGTGTGATTTAGGTAAAGTGAGAAAAAAACTAAATAACCGTATGCTTTAGTGGCTAAGATGTAATATATATACTATTTGACATTAACTGCTTTGAAATTATATGATTAGCATGTGACACCTTTCATAATACCAAATTCTATGAGTGGGCTCCTCTTTAATAAAGTAATCAATCATTTTGTTCTTTTGTTTATAAGTGGATCAGTTAAGACAAAATTTAGGGAATTCAGTTCAATATAATCTTTTTCCCTATTTTTCTCAATATCTAAAAATTCAAAGGCCGGTTTGGTCAACTGTACAAAAAGTCTAATTTGTTCCATAAATTGTCCCACACAAGTTTGAAAAGAGAGAACAAAGAGAGGTGAAACTACCTCCTACATTCATAGACTCTCATTTACTTCTTCATAATCTTTTCCTTTTCCTTTTCCTTTTCCTTTTCCTTTCTAATCTTTATCAAATCCCCAAACCCCATATTCAACCCCCTATTCACTCATTGGATTTTCAAAGACTTTTCAATCACTAATTCCACAATTTCAGTCCTTACATCAATTATACAATCTCAACTTATATTGGGCACACCCCTCTCTCCTCCTCCTCTCTTTCTCTCTCTAAATTTATATGTATGACTTAGATCATCCCTTTTCTCTATTCCAATTAAGATTAAACATTTCAGTACTTTTCTTCTTGTGTACTAATTCTTGAAAGATGATATTAAGTCTCCAAATCATCATTATATTTGCAATATGTATTGTTCCGATTACAACCAAGTGCATCCAATCATGTGGCACTTCTCCAACCAAACACCTCCCTTACCCTTTCGGCTTCTCCGACGAATGCCCAATCCAACTGAACTGCAACTCAACCGGCGACATTCTCATCCACGACTTTCCGGTCCGTAAGGTCGACGCCGAAGTCATTCTGATCCATCTCCAGGCCAAATGCGACCGACCCATCACCGACCTCCACTACCTCTTCGGCCGGAACTTCGCCCCGACGTCACGCAACGGGATTCTGCTACAAAACTGCAGCTTGCCGATCACGGCGTGTTTGATTCCGACCACCATGGTTCAGACCCACTTCGAATTGCTGGATTGCGGGTCGGATGGTGCTAATAATATTAGTTGTTACTCGGAGCAGAAGAATCAGAGTCAGTTCATTGATTACCATACGGTGGAGCAGAGTGGTTGTGGGTCGCTTTTCTCGGCCATCTCGGCGGAGTCATTTGGGAATAATTCGGCCGTGTCGTTGGATGTTCAGGCGGTTCAATTGGGGTGGTGGGTTGAAGGGGATTGCGACTGTTCTGATAATGCGAATTGCAGTATAATTGTGCCTCCGGTCGGACGGCCAGGACATCGGTGTCAGTGCTTTGAAGGGTTCGTCGGCGACGGGTTTAATGCTGGTTTGGGCTGCCGGAAAGGTGAGTTTCAGTTGCCTTAATTTATGGCTTCTTTTAAATTCATCATTTTAGTGCATAATACATTAAATTTGGAGGGTCAACTACGTTGATTTTTAATGAACTTATTTTTTTTAATAATAATACTAATAACAACAAAATAATACTGTAATAACAATAATAATAATAGATGATAGAAATTAAGATTAAAAATTTAAAACCATATAATACAGGAGAATGAAAAGTTTGTCATTTAATTGTTTTGTAACATGATTGTTATTTAGAAAGTGTTCACAATATAACGGTGGCAATTATTTATTTTTAGAAATCTAACATCCTTTCTCTCGGAAACCTCTTGAACACGGAAAGTAAAATGTATAAAATCGACGATATTTATGTTGTGTGTTCAGAAATTGTTGAAGTATTATTATTTTGAGAGCACTTCTATTAAAAAAGAGTCATTAGTCAATTACTATAAATTCAAATTCTACAAACGGTATTTAGAATTTTTGAGCCATTGAATCTTCATTAGATTTGCTCCATCACTACATAGCTGATAAATTTGGAATTTCTAGAATTTTCCTCTTGTTACAGTAATCAAGAGACCGAATTTGACTTTTTTTAATTTTTATTTTTGGTAGTGCATTAATTGAATGACTAAAAAAAGGTGCACTAATATGATTAAATTGCGCCTTTAATCATGAAAAGTATTTATTAGGGTCAAAAAAAGGTAATAATAAGAGCCAATATCAAATAATAATTACTATTAAATCACGGGCTTGATTGATCCTAAATTTTGGCCCCCAAGTCAACATACTCTATAGGAGCTAAAAGATTTTTTTTCGTCATTTTGGTCGTGGAAATGATTGTTTTTTATATTTAATAATGGTGTGACTAGGCAAAGGAATAAGTCGCAAATCACAATCGTGTGTTAGATAAACGGTTAGTTCACCTAATATATATATCGTGACAGTGGGACCTTTTGGTATTTATTTAATTTCAACTTGCATAGAAATTTCAATGTCCTTATTGTAGGTTGCAAGTTGGCATTTGTCCATTGACAACATTTGAAAAGTATTCTGAAAATATTTTATTTGTGCGCGTCAATGTCCAGGAAAATTTATGTCACATGGACTTTTCTAATTGTAAGAATTATCCATATCAAAGATACTCCGACATTTGTACGGTTGTGTGACTGATGTGTTTAATTAAACATGTTAGTATTCAAAAACATAGTTGATAATATAAGATTACTGCATGGTTATAATAAATAAAAAATTTAATTTGGGAAAATTACATTTGTCTCTCATTTAGATTGCCTAAATAATAAAGACCTCCCCTATGATTTTGTAATAACACTACCTTTTCTGTTGATTTCGGCCTAAATGTGTTAAATAACTATTATACCTAATGTACTTTCATTAGTATGGGGGATCGGTGTTATTCAAACTTAAACCAAATGGAAGATCAGTGTTATATTTAAAACTAGAAGGGAGGTCCATGATATACAGGGGAGATACACAATAATGTAAGATTTTTTGACATAGTTGGTCGGTGTTTACTTAGACTTGAACCAAAGAGGAGGTTAGTGTTATATTTGAAACTAGAATGTATGGCCCGGTCATTTAAACAATTTACAAGGGATATACACAAGAGTGTCATATTTTTTTGACATGGGAGGTCAGTATTACTCAGACTTGAACCAAATGAGAAGTCAGTGCTATATTTGAAACTAGATGGGAGGTTCTTGTTATTTAGAGAATTTACAAGGGAGGTAAATGTAATTATCCTTATTTCTTTTTATTACTTTATCGCTTCAACACAAGTCAAGAATCCTATTCAAGTCTCTTATGCTTCATATACCTATATTGATTTAACATAGTTTGAAATATATATATATTTCAAAAATTATCAATCCCCAAATTCTTATACCACATCTCAAAGCAAGAAAAACACATAAAAAGCCCATGATTGACTTATTTTTATAAATGATATGTGAGAAGTGAGAACAATAAACTGCAGTAAACATGAAATAACGTTGTGGGGCATGACACTACTCTAGGTGCCTAAATTAATATGCTCATCAATGCTTCAATCATGTTAGGAAGTTATTAGTTGTTTGTGTAAATTCAATTTTCCATTGTCGCATAAATAAATAATCTTGGTTAATGTGATTTTCTTCTGTAAACAGCCTCTTCAGCATGCAACCCTGCAAAGTACATGTCAGGCCAATGTGGTGGTACAACTAGAGTCGGCGTTTTAGTTGGAGGTAATTCTTTTTTTTTTTTCCTTCTTACTAGTTGAATAAAAAACACCCAACATTTTTACTGTCCCATTCATAGCAACTATTATTTTCCGAATTCAGTAATTTACTGTCCTATTCATTTTACTTGCATGTTTCAAATCTGCTATCGTTCACCATATATTCATATGGCATTGTTCCCCAAATTTCTTGATATGTGCTTCTTGTATTTCACAAGGGAAAGTGCGCCATTTAGCATTTACCGACTTAATGGGCGGTCTAAATGGAAGTTGAAACTTCATCTTGTGAAAACGAAACTTTATTCGGGGTTCACAATCTTCAAATACTGAACACGACTCCTGCATTTGAATCTTAAAGTGACATATCGAAAAAAACACAAATATGTACATTTCACTTTTTAAGGTAGCTAATGTTTTAGTTCAGACACTTCTAAAGTTGCAGTCCCCTTCTTTGTTCTTTTAGTTAGAGTAATGATGTAGATATATATATATATATTTTTTATTATTTTTTTTTATCCCTAAATGTGGAAACCTCCTTTTGCAGGTATTGCTGCAGGAGCTGCTTTGATGATCAGCATTGGACTAATATGTTGTTTCATCCGACGACGTTCCAATTCAAAAACTAGAAACAGAAAAAACCGCCTGATATCTGAAACTACAGACATCAACATTCCTATCTATCCCTATAGAGAAATTCAGAGAGCCACAAATAGTTTCTCAGACGAACAGCGGCTGGGGACTGGGGCTTATGGGACAGTTTACTCCGGGAAACTTTACAGCAACGAGTGGGTTGCCATTAAAAGGATCAAACATAGAGATACCGATACCACTGAGCAAGTCATGAATGAGATCAAGCTCATCTCTTCTGTGAACCATCCAAACCTTGTACGCCTTTTAGGTTGCTCCATTGATAAAGATGAACAAATCCTTCTCTACGAGTTTATGCCTAATGGAACATTATCTCAGCATTTACAAAGACAGAAGAGTGAGGTGCTTACGTGGCCAGTTCGCCTCACCATTGCCTCCGAGACTGCTCAAGCCATAGCCTATCTCCATTCGGCCATGAAACCTCCCATTTATCATCGAGACATCAAGTCTAGCAATATACTTTTAGATTACAACTTCAAAACCAAAGTGGCAGATTTTGGTCTTTCTAGGCTTGGTATGACCGAAACATCACACATCTCAACTGCCCCACAGGGAACTCCAGGTTATCTTGATCCTCAGTACCATCAAGACTTTCATCTTTCTGACAAAAGTGATGTTTATAGCTTCGGAGTAGTCCTTGTGGAGATCATAACAGCATTAAAAGCGGTGGACTTTTCTCGGCCCCAAAATGAGGTGAATTTGGCATGTCTTGCTATAAACAGGATTGGGAAAGGGTGCTTAGAGGAAATAATAGATCCTTTCCTCGAGCCAGATAGGGATGCTTGGACACTTTCCACGGTGCATAAGGTGGCCGAGCTAGCATTTAGATGCCTTGCATTTCACAGAGACATGAGGCCTCCGATGATGGAAGTAGCAGCTGAATTGGAGCAAATTAGGCTTAGCAGATCATGGGTATCATCAGAAGACAACATCCCAGCTTCATCAGAGGCATCGTTTTATTCTTCATCGTCCAGTATAAGTGAGAAACCACTAAGTGTGACAATGAAGAAGCCCGAATTGGATAGCACTAGTCTATTTGCACTACAGATCGTGCCTGGTGGTTCGAGTTCAATGGATGGGATGAAGGACTTTTCCCCTGTTTCTGTTCAAGATTCGTGGCCAAGCGAACAAAGCTCGCCATCATCCAATAGTTTGCTCAATCATGTAGTTCAGTAACCTTTAAAGCTGCTGTGTCTTCTTGGTGACTAGCTTCACCTCTGTGGATAGTTAGCGTTTCAAAGGTACTCATTTTGCTATCAAAAGCAAAATTTGCTTTAGAAAGCAAGAAAAGTAAATGTGAAAACACCTAGAATGGCTTCACTACCTCCTGTTAATATCATTAAAGACGTACATTTTGACTGCAACTTCTCTATACTGAAAGTCAGAAAGTTAAAGATTTTATTTTTCCAATTTATTTAGTTCAAGCACAAGGAACTGCTCTTCCAAGAGCTCACTAAGATAAGATGTGGGTGACATATTCTGGCTTGAAACCTCAACAACTTGCTTGGAATGTATTACACTTGTTTGTGTAGGCTTTCCCAATTACAATTATAGAGTAGCCTTTGTTCGTATTGTTGAGTTTGGGAGTACAGAATTAGTGGGCTGGAATTCGATACTCCCTAACATAACATATGTGAAATTTCATTTGTTTTGGTTTTTATGTTTTATAATTGTGTGAGACAATTATTATTTTGACTAGCTTTGTTTTGCTGCTTTTGTAATTTATTAAAATTTCATGTTAGAACAATAGAACATAATCAAGAATGGAATGGCAGAGTTTGAAGGAGGATTTTTTTTTTTTTTTTTTTAATTAATTATTTTGGATGTAAATTGTTTGGGCTTATTAGTTTTCCTTTCATCTTTTTGGTGAATGTAACACTCCTTCCTCTTTTTTTAACTTATTTAATTGTTCAACTTGTTTGGCTATAAGGACTTTATAAAAATAAAAATGTACATAGGAATTTAAAAATATTTAAGCAAAGAATCTCTTTTTAAGCCTTCAATCTTATTCAGTAAAAAAGTAAAAAAATTGAGGGGATTTAAAAATCAAGCATGTTTTATTGGTTAAGATAAGATGTTTGATGCTAATTAAGAAGCAATTTGTTCATAAAATAATTGTGAATGAAATAAGAATTTTAACCAATTAAATTTCTCTGGAATTGCCATTGAATGTTAAAACACACGCATTCAACTTATTATTGGCCTCAATGGTTATATAATTTGTTAATCGGGGAGAAATTCTATAATAGCCGGGTATTTTAACATTTGATACATTTTTCAATCAAAGCTAGAAAATGTAAAAATTTAAGAGTTTCAACATTTCTCGCACCTTTATGGAGATTTATTCAAGACAAATGCTGTTTTTACACTCAAAGTAACAATTGGGCATGCTACCATTGGAGTCAAAATGCCATTGCACATGGGCTGTGTAGGCTTGCGTTAGCTGTTTTCGTTTACCATATATGGCAGGAGCGGAATAATAGACTCTACCGGAGCTCGCCATCAACGCAGTCCGAGGTAAAGCTTCTCTGCGGGACTCGAGCGAGTTGAATGAATGGGGTGGGCGCCGGTGCGCGCCTCGGGGGTGTGAACACTTGTCAAGGGTCATGAGGCAGATCACTTGTTCCATTGCAGAATCACCTAAAGCTTTGAAGAACCCCTCCTTCTCTGCCCTAGCTACTGAATGGGCCTTTTATCCAGTGGCTAATCGGCCACCACCAATGCCTCCAGACTAATTACAGAGATGAAGGATGGAAGTTCCCTGTACATCGCTGCAGGTTGTTACTGGAATTGCTATATAAATCCACTGCTAACGGATACGAATTTGTTATCAATGGCTGTTCTTGAGTCTTTTCTTATTCGTGGAGCTCGTTGTTCTATACAGGTAAATTACAATTACACCTCCGAGGTTTGTTATAATAATAGTCATACATAAGTTAATTTATTTTTAAACAACGACACTCCTTCAGTTTTGCTCCTTTTGACAAAGACACCCTTAGTGGTCTAACATATGTTAAAATGACCTAAATGCCTCTTAACTTTTGAAGTGGCACTTTTAAATAGTAAAATTACCAATTTACCCAATCTAAAATGTCTAAAATAACCTTTCACCTCAAGCACCTACCCATAAAGCCTCCACTCCCCTCTTTGCAACAGCACCACCAGCAGCACCACCAGCACTACGACCACCACCACCTCTTCTTTCCTATATTTATTCTCTTATATATATATACACACACACACACTTGTATTACACACATACACAATTATATACACATACAATTATAATCCAATGACAAAATATTTCTCAAATTAATCACAAAAAATTTCTATCCAAACCAGTTTCAATGGAGACCCCAAAACTGTTGAGACACTATTTTTCTCTCCAACCCCAAATTGTCGCCACCGACTAAACTCGGATCCTCAACCAAATCACAATCAACACCAACAGTACCAGCAATGGATGATGATGAATCAAAATCAACCCCCACCCCCACAACAACCACCCCAACAGCCTATGTATTACCACCAGCAACCATCGCCTCCAATAACAGTGCCACTGCAGAAGCTCCAGCAACCATAACAGTAACCGCAATACTCAGCCGCCACTCAGCCCGCTAGCACTGACAAGATCCGTTCCGTCTGGATAGCACCGCCGGTCCCAAGGCGACCTCCCTCGCCTTCGCTGTTGACTTTACAGGCCAAACCATCACTGAATTGGAGCTTCGTCAAGAACAAGTTGTCGAAGTAGTCAGTTATCCTCTCTCGACCTGATCACAGCCCGTTCCTTCTAAAACTCGCGCGTGATACAAGCACCGCTGGTGATGGCCCGATCAAGGCGTTGGACTACACACTCCGAGCTTCGAATTTGTTTGAGTTGTGCACCATCAACGGTGAGCCGGACCTGACGATATGCCACATCTCACCTAACCTCGATCTCAGGCGAGTGTTTAAAGAGAGATAAAGAGGATAGAGAGAGGGAGGGTAGAAGGGCAAAAATGTCCTTTCAAGATTTTGATATTTTACAATTAAAATCAATTAAATATTGATGGGCAATCTTGTCTTTTTCAACCTATTAAGGGCCTGTTTGGATCAAAATTCTGACAGGGGGTGTTATTGTTAAAAAAATGCCCAACTTATTTATGACTGTCATCGTGTCAAACCTCAAGGAGTGTCATTGTAATTTATCCTTCTATATATGTCTCTAGATGTTGTGCTAGTTGGGCTTTAACTTGTGGGCTACTTGCCTTATGGATCACACTGTAAATTCTTTATATATTAATACATTTGCTTTACTATTCAAAAAAAAAAAAAAAAAAAAAAAAAATCAGAACATTTGATTGAGAAAGTACAAGTGTCAAAATACATCCCGGAGTATTATAGAATTTTTCGTCAATCTTGGTATAACTCTGTTTTGCCTTACCTTACGTATTAATGATATTTTGCTTTTGAGGTAAAAAAAAAAAAGAAAAAAAAAAAGGGCAATCTTGGTATAACTCTGTTTTGCCTTACGTATTAATGATATTTTGCTTTTGAGATAAAAAAAAGAAAAAAAAAAACTATTATTGGCCATATATCCACTCTTAATACAAATGAGCTCCAATGAATTTTAGGCTATGTTTAATATGGTGAAAAAAAAATAAATAAAAGATAATATTAAATTACAAAAGAAAAGAAATGATAGTATTAACCACTAATTGTATTTGATTGGTTTGTAAAGAAAAAAAGAAGAAGATAATAGTAATTATGTGTAGAAAAAGAAAATGAATAAAACTATTTTAATGAATTTATTACCTTATTTTTTGTTTCTTTATAAAAATAAAGACAAATTTAATATTAATAAAATTTTATTAAAAATACTAATAACACTCTTTTCATTTCCTCACATTATTTAAAAATTAGAGAGATAACAAAACTCTGTCACAAATATCCTTTCACTTTCATTCCCTTTCTTTTCCTTTCTAAATTTTATACATGCCTTTCCTTTCCTTTCCTCTTTTTTATTTTTCTTCCAGTTCTTTCCAACCAAACGGGGCACTAGGGTTTAAGCGGTGGAAACGATAACAAAAACCAGAAACTCTTCTAAAACCCTGAAAGGAAAAGAGAGCGGAAAGAAGATGGAGTTACAGTCAGCTTGTGGATGGATTCACAATCACGCCCCAAATATCAGATTATCTCCAAATCGACGTCTCTTCCCTCATCACACTGTAAGTAATTGCTCCAAAATTACACTTCAAGTCACTCTCTCAATCTTAATCTCGCTAATGCCCTCCCTCTGTCTTGAAATTTTCATTTTAATCTGTTTTTAGGTTTCTCCTCCATTATCAGTACGAACAGATACAAGATTTTGGTTGCGAAATGTTTCCAAATGTATGTATGTTCTCTTTTTCTCTTTCCCAAACCTCTCAATTTTCCTACCATTTGTGCTGTGTTTGGTTGCCGAGAAAATGTCGGAAGAAATACAGAATTTAAAACTCAATACTTCTATATTTGTTAGTTTTCATTAAATTTCATTGATTTTATCTGAACCCAAATGGTGGGTTTTTTTAATCAGTGGTGAGTGGGCTATGCAATTTCTTTATTCTTACTAAAGCATTTGTTCAGCCGATTTAGTGCTAGGTTCGAGGAGTGGAGTGAAGAATTTTTCACAATCAAGCTTGAACAAACGAGTTATATGTGCTTATAATTCGAAATCAGAGGGGAAGCTGAACTATCATGGAAAAGATGTGCGTCTAAATGGGCTTCATGGGGTGGAGCCTTTTCATGGTAAATCAGGTTCTGTTTCATTTTATGGAATCACTCATCAGTTAGTTGAAGAAGGTAAATTGGTGTCCGCCCCTTTCGACGAAAGTAAGGGCTCTTTGCTCTGGGTTTTGGCTCCTGTTGCTTTGATATCATCATTGCTGCTTCCACAGTTCTTTTTCTTTGCAATTGAGGGCTTCCTCAAAGATGATATTCTCTCAGGTATTTGATCAATGAGTTCTGATGTTTTTTAGCATAAATTGATGGTCTAGTCTTATGTGCAAAATGGTGTCATTGTCTTTGTTATATGCAAATCAAGCCGATTTAGTTTAATCAAATTGTTATATTATCTTCGAAAGGCTCATCAGCAGAAAAGTAATAAAAAGTGAATATGTGAATTGATTTGTAAGCTAACCTTTTTCATTTGCATGGTTAGATTTCTTTCAAGGTAATCTTTGTGGCCTGTTAGTTGGAAGCATGATAAACTTGCATTATTTAGATTCTTAAAGGCACTTCGAAAAACAATATGTGAACTTCATTTGCCAAGAAACATGGTTAGTTATAAGGAGCGGTGACCATGTTGAACACATGTTGGACACGAATACTTCTTCAGAACTTACTTTATGTGTTTGACACATCTTGAACAACATGTCCATGATTTTAAAATCAATTTCCAACTTTGGACTTGTGGCTGGCCATTTGACTGAGAACCTTGGATGTTTAACATTGACTTCCTTTAGCATTTATTAATGTATAATTTTAGTAAAAATCAACTTAACATTGCCATTATTATGTGTTTACATTAACATATATTTCTTTACACAAACATATAGTAATGGCAGATCCTTGTTGTGTCTTTGTCAATGTGACATGGGTGAATATTGATTATTGTGATTTATAAATGATATATTTCATATTACAACCTTAGAATATCAACTTAGCAAAGTGATTTTCTTGTGTATACCACAATTTTATGTATAACAAATATATTTATTTATTGTCATGTCTTTAATTTGTCCAAGTTGTGTCATGTCTGTATAATTTGTCGATGTCCGTGCATCATAGGTCATCTAAACCGTTTTATCTGTCATTGTCAGCTGATCTTCAACCTCATAAGCCAAACAAATTGCTTTTTGAGTGATAATTCTCTGCATTCTATTATCGAAAGAGGAGGGTGTGTGAGCATCCATTTGGGAAAGAAAAAAATGGCAAATATGATAATAAGGGCTTCTGCTTCGTTTACAAAAGAATTGTATTCCCACCTTAAGAAATTCCTTGGTGTGGAGGAATTGACTATGTTAGGATCAAGAAGAGCTTTTCCATGTAGGTATAATTTATCTCAGTCTGGGTTAGAGTCCAAAAAAAAAAAAATTGTTACATATGAAGTTGGCATATGTTGGTTTATTCTCTCTACTGTTTCCCAACTCTTGGATTATAAGAGTTAATACCAGTTGGTACAAGTCTAGCCTCACTACCTTGGTGACAAATAAAATTAGGGCCATATTTTATTGGCATTACAGAAAATTAATCCAATTACATTTAGAACACTAAGCTAGAATAAGTAGTTTGGGATCAGCATCAGCTCTCGTGTTTTTCCATTGAACGGCATTTTCTGTATAAGGCATTCGATTCCAAACTTGCTGAGTCAATTAGCGTGTCTGCCATTGGGATAGGATATTCATCCTTTGTACTCTTTGATTTATTATTTCTCTCAGAGGCTAATCAATCAGCTGTGTAACAGCCAGTAGTACCCCCAGGGATGAGACTTTATGAGTCAAGGGCTATCAGATATTGTCGGGGAACAGGGATGAGGGTGCCTCTTCACAAAAAGATTGATGTAATCACAAACCACATCTGTAACCTTACATTCCTTAAGTTAAATAATAAGTTAATAACGGTTATTATATTTTGCTTTAATTGCTGAAAGCTTTAATGACAGACTGGCATGGTGTCATGGTGTCATGGAAACATTGATACATTCCCAGAGTTATGGGATGAGGCAATGCTACAATAATAAAGTGATTTAACTGGTTTTAATAGCTCGATATAAATGGGAAAGGAAACCTTTGTATTTATATTTTTATCATTTTTCTTAAGCCAATGAGAGAATGCGAGGACAAGAAGGAAGGCCCAAAATGACATTGTTCAAGTTGGTTTAGTGGTAAGATTGGGTATATTGCAATATAAAATAATGGAACACATGGACGAAAATAGAGTACTAATGCTAGGGCTGCTGACCGCAAGAATCTGGATAGCATTTTTGTTCTTAAATCATGTGGCTTGATAAGATTTACATCTCGCCGAGTCTCAATCAGGTGGGAGTGGGACTTGTGAAAGTTTTAGTTTGACATGTGCCTCCTATGTTTGGAGTTTTGCATGGGTATAGAATGGTGCTTGAAAAACCAAATCATATTGAGATAAATTACTGTTAGATCGTATCCCAGTACTACTAATGTGTTGGCTCATGCAAAAGCTAGGTTAAGTTACAAGCTCGAAACTTGCTGGAGCACCACTGATATTTTGACAAATTAGAATGTTTATAACTTCTATCAAGAACGTTCTGGCGCAGATTATGATAAAATTTCGGATAAAGAGAGCAAAAGTTGATCAGGTAGGGATAATGCATAGAATAGAAAGAACATAAATGACAATTTAAAGAGAAAAAAAACATGTCAATCAGTCTGATATAGTCCTTTAACGAAGGAGGAGGGGGTGGAGAAACCAGTCTGAAATAGGGCACAAGCTTTTTGGGTTTCTGTTATATCTAGCCTTTATGGTTCAGAACTGCCTATTTGAATGGACATTTCATGCCATGCTTCTAAAACAGCCACTAGATGAGGAATGGTTCTGTTGCACTTTTAACTGTCTGAATTTCATACACGAAAAAGTATCATTATAGTTTCTTGACTTCTCTTTTATAACTTTGACTTTATAATATTAGTGGTTTTGTGTGTGCCGGTGCATGGTGCGTCAATTTTTCTTTATCTTCCTACTACAATCTCATTATACACTTCCATGACTATGGTTTTGCAGAAATTGTGGCTTCGTTATCATCTGAGGTCATTTTTTATATGGGTCTTGCAACATTTTTGCTTGTAACTGACCATGTTCAAAAGCCATATCTGCAATTCAGTCCAAAGAGGTGGGGCCTCATCACAGGCCTCAGGGGATTCTTAACATCTGCTTTCTTCACAATGGGTTTTAAGGTTATCGCTCCTTTGTTTGCTGTCTATGTCACTTGGCCAATACTTGGCTTGCCAGCCTTAGTTTCGGTGGCTCCTTTCTTACTTGGCTGCTTGGCTCAGTATCTATTTGAGACGCATCTTGACAAGCGTGGCTCTTCTTGTTGGCCTCTAGTACCCATAATTTTTGAGGTATATATATAATAAACTATGAATCTTCTCTCTGTAGCAAAATGTATTCTAAGACATTGAATTTGATGTGGCAGGTCTATAGACTATATCAGTTGAGCAAAGCTGCTCATTTCATTGAGAGGATGATGCTTGCAATGAAGGGGGTTCCTGTATCTCCAGAAGTGCTAGAAAGAAGCGGTGCCTTGGTTGCTATGATAGTGACCTTCCAAGTCCTTGGCGTGGTTTGTCTCTGGTCATTGATGACCTTTCTTCTTAGGCTCTTTCCTTCCAGACCTGTTGCAGAGAAGTATTGATATTTGTAGTGGATGCAGTACATATATACTTGTATGTATTGGTTCTCATTTCCCGCTCTTTTCTATGCAATGGAAACTCTTATCTACTATTAGGTGTTACACAGTTACACTATAACTGCGGTCCTAGACATGTTCATCGATACAAAAGACGCGTTACAAGTTCTGGAGTCATCACCTAATATTAGCTTATATCAATGATTAAATTGGTGAACACTTCTAATATAAATTTCAGGTTCAATTTTGAACGTGTTAAGTTAATCAGAATTAGCTTATACATGTAAGTTATTGTTTGTTTTGAATATAAGCATGACTATTCCAAAACATAGTTAGAAAACGCGGCCACACCGAGTCTAGGTATGTGCAGGTTTGAGATTTCAGCGCAACCTTCAGTATCCATATTTCCTACTAGCTGGAAACATTAACTATAGCTTATTTCTTTATATGAATGAGCATATCGATCATGAACTTTGTATTCGTCAATCATGAACTTTGTATTCGTCAATCATGAGCTTTCTAATTGCAGCCGGTTTTGTATTTCATGACAGACGGTATTGAGCATAGAGAAAGTCCAGAAAACCTGGAAATTGTATGGGATATTCTCTACTTCTTGTATGGTCAATTGTAGGAATGCGACCAGGTGACTCAATGGAGAACGTCTTACTGTTTTATTTGAAATTTTCTTGCAACAGAAATCTATCAACATTGAGCCTAGCTCGATGTCTGCTCCATTTATTGCAGGAGGGAAAATTTTCTTGATTCTTACAACAACTGTGTGGAAGCACTATCCATTCTGGAGCGTTTGGTTGAACTAGACAATCAACGCAAAGCTTTTCTGTATCCATTCCTAGGCTGCGATTTAGTACCTAATTCATTGACAGCTAACTTCTGTGTGTTGCTTGCTTCTACATATACGAGTCGTCTCCCCTGCTTTTTAATTTGTCACAGCCTTCACTTAAGTTCCCGGATTCAGAGACGTGCAAATGTTGATCCCTCTTTTCGGGAGAAAGCTATGCTGAAGAAAACTGAGGTTGCATTGCTGGACTCACAGCTTGAAGAGAATTTGAAAATAAGGCAAGCACTTATCCAAGCTTTGTGTATGAACACTTCTGTTGGAACAAAATTCATATGCAATGGCAGAATCCAATTCTGCAGCAACGGTTAATATCTGCCCCACCTCCAACCCCAGGTTTTGAATCACCCTACACAGTAAACCAGCAAGGAGAGGTATCCACTGAACATATTACCTTATTTCACTTCCTTCATTTGAGCATATATAAGTCGTACGTGCACAACATGCGCCTGCGTGTGCACAATATGTATGACTTGGATGAGCCCGGTACACGGTGCGCCAGGTGCACCCAATAGCTTCACCTGGAGAGGTCAATAGGCCGAGAGGGAAGCCAATTATCATGCCAAAGGAAGGTTCAAAGAATCTTTTACAAAATAAAATATTGCAATTATGAAAATTATGAAATTAATGTAATAGAGGCACAATGCAAGATATTAGGGCAGGTTCGAAAGTGCCAACCGATCAAAGTTCAACTATAGTTTTTCCATTAAATCACTGCCGACTCATAATAATCTTTTCCGGAGTATTACAAAATACGTGTACTAAAAATAGTTGGGATCAACCCCAGATAAACCGAAGATAACTAAAATCAATCCCATGCAAATTTGAGAAAATCGAGTTGACCCAATATTTATATTGTTCTTAGATTGATTCCAACCGTTTTCAAGGTGCACCGGTGACAGTTGAGTTAATCCAAATTATCCAATACTACTATGAGGTTGATTCTAACCGTTTTTCATACGCAGGATAGAATTTTCGTTCTTTTTTTACCTTGGTGAAAGACACACCCCCACTTGTCCGTGTAGGGATCTGAACTTTCAATCACACACTCCCACTTGCCCTTGTAGGGATTTCAACTCTCAATCTTTTACTTTAGAAGACCGTAAAGTAATAGTATACATTGAAATATTGTATTATAATAGACATTGAAATATTGCATTATTAGTTGCATTACCAAATTTATTAAAAGTTGGCACAAAGGGATGTAAAGCTTCACCTTCTAAATGCAAGAAAGTTGAATTGGTAATATTATTTATATATATAAAAAGAAAAAATATAGAAAATCTTAGATTGACATTATAATTGGACTATTATTTTGGAAAAGTTGAGTTAATCCATATTGCAAGTGAAGACACTTCCGTGGTCAGATTGGGCTAGTGATTTTAATGCATTCGGGCCCAATGAATTAGCAAGTAGTAGCCCAACATATGTTGCCTAATTCCGATTCTCTTGTTATATTAACACGTGCACACACACGCCTGCAATAGGACCCAATTCATAAAATGGGACCCACATACACCTCACCATGCTTAACTGAAATAACCGTAACCGTTATGGCTTGGCGCGCAAAACCCATTTAAAAGTCGTCCTCTCCATTAAGAAAGGTCACACATTTTCTTCTGCAAATCTTGTTTCAGAGAAAGAGAGAGAGAGAGAGAGAGAGAGAGATTCTTAAGGAAGGAGAGAGAAAGAGAGAGAAATGGCATCATCTTCTTCACCATCATCAAAGGAAGCAATCGGAGAGAACCGAGATGCTGCATCTTCTTCACCGTCATCAAAGGAAGCAATCGGAGAGAACCGAGATGCTGCATCTTCTTCACCGTCATCAAAGGAAGCAATCGGAGAGAACCGAGATGCTGCAACCCCCCAAGCAAATCAGACAGACGATTCTGATGAAAGTACTCCTCCTCTATCTCCTACCATGATGAAATCAAGTACTGATTTGATGGTGAAAGTATTTCGATACTTTCGTGATCGAAAGTTCGCCAAGTCTTCCGAAGTGAACGAGCAAGTTCTTAAATTGCTTCCTTTGTCAGTATTTCTTAATTCGATCTTCGATTCTTGTTCTATTGTTGATTCTTCGTTGTTATTGATTATTTGCTAATTCAAGATTGGGGTTCTTGGCTTTGGTGCTCTGTTTTGTTATGATTTTGTGGTTTAAGCACAGTTGAGTCCATTTAATTATACATTCTGCTCCCAATTTTAATCCATTTTCTATTAAGTTTATGGTGTTCGTATTTTAATTAGGTTCTTGACTACTATGGAATAACTGCCTAGATAGACTAAACTGTGGTGAGAACTATCTCACATATAATTCATTATCCTTTTAATTATTGTATTATTATTTTTATCTCCAATTAGATCATTTTAGATTTTATGACAAAATTTCTTGTTTTTCTATATACACACATATATTGCATGATATATATGCATATATGAATATATGCACGAATATATTTATTTTTGTATTTTGGATGCGTGCAAAAATATTGCAAAGGTATGCATACACTAATTGCCTGAACAATCTGAAAGCTTTTAAAAACTCCTATTCAACTTTTGTGTGTCATTCAGGATTGACAACCAAACTGGACATGATGATCTATTTGTCTTAGCAAACCTTTACAAGGGTCTTGCCCTGCAAGCTCACTTTCGTGTAGAAGACGATCTAATGACTGAGGCTTTGCCAATGGAGGCAGATTACGGAGTACATGGATCGACTTTTGTTGCAAAAGAAGTTCCGGGTGATGGTCAGTGCCATAAATTATTCCACCTTTAGATGATGGATAATGAAAATTCTTTGTTTTTATGTCCGAATTCTTCATTTTCATGTCCAATATTAATGGTGAGATGTGCAAACTTGTGAATTTTGATTTATGTTCTTCTGTTCAAATCAATGTTGAATAAGTGGATTAGGTTAGGTTCTGCAATTGAATCTCATCCATGTCTTTTATGCATGCATCTGCATCGATACAAAAGTATGCGTTGTTAAATGAAGTATTACACACACATACATATATATCAAGACACAGATCAATCACTACTGTAAAGAAACACATTTTGGTCTCTATCTGGGTGCCGGTTTGATATTTCTGCGAAAGCTTAAAATATTTATAGCCCTACAAGCTAGAAACTATGATTATGACTTACTTGTCTGTATGAATGTGAATGAGCATATCTTGATCAGGAACATGCTAATTGTAGCCGGAATTTTTGTACAGACAACCTGGAACCTGCAGGGTTATATCTAGTTGATGCAAAGACAATGCTAGACAAGCAACCAGGTGACTCGGTGGCGAAGGTGGATGTCTTATCTGCCCTTGGGGAGCTGGAACTTAAAAAAAGTAACCTGTCCAATACTATCAATTTGAATATTTCAAGAAACAGAAATCTATCAGCATTTCTGGTCGTGGGAAAATTGTATTTATTGAACCTTGATGTATGTTCCATATTTTGCAGGGAATTATATGGATTCTTTTAAGCACTATCGGGAGGCACTATCCATTATGGAGCGTTTGGTTGAACCAGACAATCAACGCATAGCTCATCTGTATCCGTTCGTATAGCTGATTTACTACTTTATTTATTGACTGCTACTTCTGTGTGTTGCTTCTATATAGCACATATATATACTTGTCTCCCCTGCTTTTTGACTGATCACAGCCTTCACTTAAAGCTCCCAGAAATTTTAAAATATGTATGTGCTTGGCAAAATGCAATGACATTAAGCAAGCCACTGAATATTGCGTGAAGGCTATATCAATCTGCAAGAACCGGATTCAGAGGCTCAATAGTTCGCCTGGACCTTCTTCTAGTGCGCCTGATGCTGGTCTCTCTCTTCTGGATAAAGCTGGTGATATTGGAAAGTTCGAGTTACTTTTAAGAGAATTTGAAAGAAAGGCAAGCATCCATTAAAGCTTTTATATACGTATGAACTTCTTTTTGAACAAAACTCATCTGCAATATGCCTTAGTGCCTTGGTGTTAGTGGTGAAATCTTACTCAGTTCTCATATTGCAGCTTCTGATTCTGCAGCATCCGTTGATGTCATCCTCACCTACAGACTCAAGTTTTGATTCACCCAACATCAACACAAGAATGCAGAAACAATCAGGCATTGAGGCAAGTGGAACAAAGAGACAGTTATCACCGGATCCAGCCAGCAAAGAACCGATGAGTGCTACCAGCAAACAACCCGGAGGTCCTGAGCATAGTCCTCCAACTGCGGGGAAGGAAGTCAAGAGACAGTTATTTCCAGATTCATCCAGCACTGAAAGTACTCCAACAAAGAAGCATTCATTGGGCCCATCATCAACAGAGGAGGACAAGGAGGGAACACCTTGAAGGTTTTCTGACAAATGGTGGATTCTCCTGAGCATTTGGTCATTATCTCACAGCAAGATGCTCTATTTCTGCTCATTAATTCTTTCAAACTGCTTAGTCTGCTCTTACATGCTTTTAGTCTCACAGTACATATTTCCTGATTTTGAATGTTAAGTCTGTAGGACTGAATTGTGCTTCATTTTAGAACAATTTTAATTGCGTAAATTTGGTTCCTTGCAGTGTGCTGCTTTATCTTCCATTGAAATTGGTCCTTCGATACTGTTTACAAAAACCTACACATCTCAATGTTGGCGACGTTAAGAAAACTACACACTTAAAAAATGGTCTAATGTTATATGACACTATCATGCCACGAGTCATCTGACTCTGCCTATATAGACATGAATCAGTGAAAGCTTTCAATCTCTAGAAAGAAGTGGTGCCTTGGTTGCTATGATGGTGACCTTCCAAGTCCTTGGGTGTGGTTTGTCTCTGGTCATTCGTGACATTTCTTCCAAGACTTGTTGCAGAGAAGTATTCAAATTTGTACTGGATGCAGTACATATACTTTGCAGTGGAAACTGTATCCAGTATTAGGTCTTACATTGAGATGAAAGAAAGGCTAAGATTTAAAAAAATGACAGATTATAATCCAAAAGTAATTTTGAATATTGTAAAAGCAAGGCTGTCGAGTATTTCTGTAATTGTCCTGTCATAATAGTCTGTCAAGTTCTAATAGGTTCACACGGTTTGGATAAGACACATTTTGGAATCAAATAGGTTCATACAATTCCAAAAAAATCGAACCAACTGTGAGAGAATGGTTCAGTTTGGTTCTACGATTTTAGAACCAAACGATGAATTAAATAATTCATCAAGATGTCCAAATGTTGATCCCTCTTTTTCGGGAGAAAGCTATGCTGAAGAAAGCTGAGGTTGCGTTAAGATCATTTTGAAAACAAGGCAAGCACTCACTCAAGCTTTGTGTATGAACTTCTGTTTGAATAAAATTCATATGCAATGTCTCTTATTAAAATTTACTCCATTCTCGGATTGAAGATTCCAACTCTGCAGCTTAATATCTGCTATCCACACACTGAGTACCAGCGAAATCAGCCAGAAATACTTTACACCAATAAGTGCCAGCAACAAACCTATAGGATAGCTAACATAAGTTGAATTTAGGTCGTCTGTACAATTCTGTCCACTTCCATTCCGTTGGATCAAAGGTTCGAACTCAATTGAATTTAGGTGAAATGGTGTTTTTCTAACATAAGTCTTCCAAATCTGAATCATCATGGTTCTTGATGCCAAAAGCCTATTCTTGGATCTTTTGTTTAAATGAAATGCTGCATGGAACTATATGGCTTTGTAGGACCAATTCTAGGTGCACCTAGGAGGCTAGGATCAAACCCAGGTAAATTGAAGACAATTGAGTTGACCCAATATTGTTGTTAGGTTGATTCCAACCCAGGATGCACTAATGAGAGTTGAGTTAATCTGATACCGCTGGGAGGTTGATTCCAACCGTTTCTAGTGCACAGGATATACTTTTCATTCCTCCCTCCTTCTTCTTCTTCTTCTTTCACCTTGGCAAAAAACACATCCCACTTGCCCTTAGAGGAATTTGAGCACTCAATCACACACCCCCACTTGCCCTTATACGAAGTTCAACTCTCATGCTTCTCTCATGCTTCTGCTTTAAAAAATGAGGAAATATCATTAGACATTAAAATATTACTTATTAGTACTACTCCCAATATCCCATTTTAGTAGTCCCTTTTTAGAAATATAACTTCACTTTTAGACCTAGTTTGGTTGCACAAATGATAATCCATATTACGAGTCAAGGCACCTGTGTTGTCAGATTGGGCTTGTGATTTAAATGCGTTCAGGCCCAATGAATTAGGACACCTTGTCCATACCCAAGTACTAGCCCAATGTACACACACGCGCCTGCAATAGGCTTTAGTGACCCAATGCATAAAATGGGACCCACATACAGCTCCACCATGCTCAACTGAAATAACCGTAACCCAAACGGCTTGGCGCGCCAAAACCCATTTAAAAGTCCTCCTTTCCATTAGGAATGGTCACATTTTCTTCTGCAAATCTTGTTTAGAAAAGTGAGAATTGTGAATGTTGTTGAAAAATGGCATCAGAGGATTCTTCATCGGGTTCGATCCAATCGATAGAAACAGCCGGAACTTATTCACAGAACTCTGTTGATCCAATCGAAGAGAACCCTGATGCTGCGAACCTGAATCGAAACGCAGCAACTCAGACACACTCCGATGATTCTCCTCCATCTACTCAAACAACCGAAGGGAACCGTGATGCTGTGAACCCGGATCAAAACGAAGCAAATCAGACAGACTCCGATGATCCTCCTTTCGCCCTGAAATCTGCTGCTTTATTGATGGAGAAGGGATCGAAGGCCTTTCAAGCTCGTGACTTTAATCTCTTCAAGCGTGTTCTTAAAACTTTGTTAGTATTTCTTACTATGATCTTTCGATTCTTGTTCTATTCTTGTGTCTCTCGTTGATTCTTTTCGTTGTTCTTGATGATTTGCTGATTCAATATTGGGGGTTCTTAGCTTTGGTGCTCTGTTTCGTTGATTCTTCTCTCGTTGTTCTTGATCATTTAATTATACATTCTAATTCCAAATTTAATCCATTTTCGATCTATCAAGTTTATAGTGTTCTTAATTTAGGGTTCGATCTTGACTAATATGGAATAACTACCTAAATCGACTAAACTGTGGTGAGAACTATCTCACATACAATCCATTGTCCTTTTAATTATTATTTTTATTCTATTTTATCTCCAATTATATCATTTTAGGTTTTATGACAAAACTTCATCTTTTTCTATATACACATACATTGCATATATGAATTTATGAACGTATATATTTATTTATGTATTTTGGATGTCTGGCAATAATATTGCAAAGGTATGCATACACTATTTGCCTGAACAATCTGCAACCTTTTAACAATATTCCTACTCAACTTTTTGTCTGTCATTCAGGATTGAAAGCAATGGCGCCGAATTTGCTGATCAATTTGTCCCAGAAAAATTCAAATACGGTCTTGCCCTGGAACCTCAATTTCGTATAGAAAACGATCTAATGATTGAGGCTTTGCCAATGGAGGCAGATTACCAACTGTATGGAACAACTATTGTTGCAATACAAGTTCCACGTGATGGTTAGTGCCCCAAATTCTTCCACACTTGGATGTTGGATAGGGAAAATTCTTAGTTTTTATGTCCAATCATAATGGTGAGATGTGAAAACTTGTGAATTTCATTTACATTCTTCTGCTCGAATCAATGCTGAATAAGTGATTTGTTCAGGTTCTGCAATTGAATCTCATTCATGTCTTTTATGCATCTGCATTGATACAAAAGTTTTTAAATGAATTTAATGAAGCCAAATACATCAATCACTAAAAAAGAAATCACTCATGGGACTTCTCACTTTGAACCTTTGAAAAATTTCCAAGAATCTCTAGCTTTTGATTGAGAAACAATGCTTATGACTGATTGAGAAACAATTTCAGTATTTGTATTCGTACTAGCTATAAACAATGCTTATGACTGACTTGTCTATATGAATGAGCATATCTTGATCAGGAACATTCTAATTGTAGCCGTGTTTTTGTACAGACGACCTGGAATCTGCAGGGTTACATCTAGTTGATGTCCTTGGGAAGGTGTCACTGAAAATGGTAGAAATGCAACCAGGTGACTCAGTGGAGAAGGTGGACCTCTTATCTGCCCTTGGGGAGGTGGAACTGAAAAAAGGCAATCTGTCCTATACTTTTAATTTGAAATTTTCGTGTAACAGAAATCTATAGGCATTTCTTGTCATAGGAAGATTGTATTTATTGAACCTCGATGTATGCTCCATATTTTGCAGGGAGTTATGTGGATTCTTGCAAGCACTATCAGGAAGCACTATCCATTCTGGAGCGTGTGGTTGAACCAGACAATCAACGCATAGCTCATCTGTATCCATTCATAGCTGATTTAGTACTTTATTAATTGACTGCTACTTCTATGTATTATGATTCCTAGGCATATATATACCTGTCTCCCCTGCTTTTTGACTGATTACAGCCTTCACTTAAAGCTCCCAGAAATTTTAAAATATGTTTCTGCTTGGCAAATTGCTACAAGATTGAGGAAGCCATTGAATATTGCCAGAAGGCGATATTAGTCTGCAAGAACCGGATTCAGAGGCTCCACAGTTCGTCAGGACTTGCAAATGTGAATCAGGAGCCTTTCTCTAGTGTGCCTGATGTTGGTCCCTCTCTTCCAAAGAAAGATGATGATGCGCAGCTCGAGTTACTTTTAAGAGAATTTGAAAAGAAGGCAAGCATCCATTAAAGCTTTTATGTATGAACTTCTTTTTGAACAAAACTCATCTGCAGTATGCCTTAATAGTGAAATCTTACTCGGTTCTCATATTGCAGCTTCTGATTCTGAAGCAATGCTTGAAGACCTCCTCATCTACAACCAAAAGTTATGAATCAATCAACACAAGAATGCAGAAAGAATCAGGCATTGAGACAAGTGGAACAAAGGGACAGTTATCACCGGATCCAGCCAGCAAAGAACCGACGAGTTCTACCAGCAACCAACCCAGAGGTCCTGAGCGTAGTCCTCCAACTGCGGGGAAGGGAGCCAAGAGACAGTTATTTCCAGACCCACCCAGCAATGAAAGTACTCCAACAAAGAAGCAGTCATTGGACCAGTCAGCAGAGGAGGACAAGGAGTGAACATCATAAATATCACAGCAAGATGTTCTCCATTTCTGCTCATTAATTCTTTCAAACTGCGTCTTAGATGTATTGTCTTAACAGTACATTTTTCCTGATTTTGAATGTTAAGTGTGTAGGATTGTTGTGCTTCAATTTAGAACAATTTAATTGTGTAAATTTGGTTTCCCGCAGTGTGCTTGATCTTCCATTGAAATTGGTTCTTCAATAGTGTTTTAAAAAATGGTCTGATGTTATGTGACATTATCATGACATGAGTCATCTGACTCTGTCTATATAGACATGAGTCGTCAAAAGCTTTCAATCTCAAGATGTTTTAGAAAGAAGTGGTTGCTTTGATAGTGACCTTCCAAGTCCTTGGTGTGGTGTTTGTCTCTGGTCATTCATGACATTTCTTCTTTGCCTCTTTACTTCCAGACCTGTTGCAGAGAAGTATTCATATTTGTAATGGGTGCGGTACATATATACTAGCATGCATTGGTACTCATTTCCTGCCCTTTTCTATGCATTGGTGTTGCACTATTACTGCAGTCCTACACATGTTCATCCTTAGGAAAGAAGCGTTACAAGTGCTGGAGTGATCACCTAATGTAGCTTATATCAATGATTAATTGGGTGTGTTAAGTTACTCACAATGGCTCAAATTTTGGAAAATTCTGACCATAAACTCCAAAAGCAAGAGCTGTTGAGTATTTTTGAACTGTCAAAATGGAAACTCTATCTAGTATTAGGTCTTACATTGAGATGAAACAAGTATTACAAGTTTGGAGTCATCGTCTAGTGAAGCTTAATTATATCAATGATTAATTCTTTCAGGTTTGATTCTGTATTTGTTTTAACTTGAATCAGAAAGGCTGTTGTATTTGTCCTGTCATAATCGTCTGGCAAGTTCTGTGATGTGTTTCACATAAATTATAGTACTTTATCAACTCAATCTCGTGTGTTACATGGCATCAGGTTTAATATTAATCCTGTTAGCAAAATTATTTTGCAAATTAGATATTATATTTTGCATGCTCATATATTGCATTTTAGTTATTATTTCTCATGGATTAGATGAAACTACATGCATTTCTGTATTCAGCGGGAGATACTCTATTTTATGTGCTCACATATTAACACATTCATGCAGATGGTTCAAATACTCATTTTACAAAAGAAAATATTGCAATTATAAAAAAATTAATGTAATAGAAACCTAATTATGAAAAGCACAATGTAAGATTCGTTGTCAGGTTTCAAAATGTCTAATCCCAACCGTTCAAAATTCTTCCATTAAATCACAAAACTCTCTAATTCATAAAAGTACTATGCATCAATTGCACTTGTATTAATTTCACCATGCTCTGAAAATAGTTGAAATTAACCTCAAAATGATATCCATGGTTCCAGCCAAAAAGAAATTTTATTGATCAAGAACATAATCAGATCTCACCTATTCAATTAACCATAGAGGTCAGTTAGTCAGTGAAAAGAAGAACATTACAATTTTCATTTCTTTGGATGATACTGAATGGCATTGACAACAATCTTTGTCTCTCGAAACTCGAATATAAACACCTTCATTCACAGCCCTTATTATAGTTTCTGCAGCATCACCTTCCATAGTTAAATTCTCCAACCTTCTGCAAACAATGCCACCAAACCACCACCTGCTTCTCCGTTCCTAGGATAATGATCAACAGATTCTGCCTCCTGAAAACAAAATTGACAATCCCCCGGCCTTTCTATGGAGTTTCACAGCCACAGCAACTCTGTTGAGTGAAACTATATATTCATAGGAATTAAGTGTTTAATTTTTGGCTTCACCCTGAGCTTCCAAAGATTTTTCCTGCTCATCGACTCACCCTCACACCTTTAGATCCTCCTCCTGAACTCAAAGGTATAGCCACTATAGCAAGGATATATCCTCTTTGCATCAGAATTATAGAATAGTTGTTTAACTGGCGACTCCTTCCATTGACATATATATATTTTGGTTATTTTCAAAGATGAAACAAATGGAAATTGAATATTAGAAGGTTGAGACGAAGAAATCTTACAAAAATACTGTCATCTGATTTCCGTTAGCAATTTGCCATTTTAAACCCTTTCCAAAAAAAGAAAATGATCAAAGACTCCTTTTACAAAATAAAATATTGCAATGATGAAAATTATGAAATTAATGTAATAGAAGCACAATCTACTTTAGGGCATTTTTTACACACTTTCAAACACCGACAGACATTAGTCTAATGCATGGTATAATGAGACAGGAGTTATATTGAATCCACAAGAAGGTAGTTTGATCCAACAAACTAAAAGAAAATTCACGAAGGAATATGATATCTTATTGATAAAATTGATTGAATATCTCTCCTATCGCAGTACAAGTTTTTATAATAAAATAAAAATCAGTTTTAAAGGAAATTAATTCCTAAAGAAAAATAAAAAAACATAAGGAATACATACAGCATATTATTTAAGCAAAAGAATTTAGAAGTTATTTTGATTTTCATAAGGAATAATCCACATATCTGCAGCGCTCAGTTATGACCATAACCTATTACTGTTTTTCTAATAAAATTTATTACTACTGGGTCTCTCAATAATGAATCATTTAAAACAATTAAATTGATAATATCAAAATGTATAGATCAAGTTAATATTTTTTCAGTAAATGAAAATTTATTGATCGAGAAGAATCAAAGAATACGATAAAGCCCCAAGAACACACGCTACTGCAAGTGCCAAAGATGGCGTTCGTAGCATTCAACTACAGCACTAGTTCAGCAATGAGCAATCAGAGCTAAACAAAAATATAGGGTTAAAAACCCCCCATTGCACATATAATTAAAAATAAAAAATAAAACAATTGCACACCAGCTAAGTTATCATTTATGAAAACATAGAGCATACTAATAAAATTAATTTATTGGATCTAAATAAAACTCATATAATTCCAATTCAAATCATGTGGTTTGATTTGGTTTTATGACTCCAACGGATTGATTCCAATTGAAAAAAAAGTCCATTTAAATTTCATATATACAAGCGATGCACTGTTCCATCCGGCAACATCAAGGAACCAAATTAACACAGAAGTACTAGATGAACTAATAGAACATGTATTCCGAATAGTTTACGATCTATTATAATCAAGAATGTTAAAAAATACACAAATATATAATCAATCACAATTGGCTAAATATATAATTGAAAAACACAATAAGGTATAGATATATAAACCTGCAAGGTGGATCATCCGGATTTTGTTGGTATAGATCGATCCCATGAATCCTGTTTGGCTGGAGGGATAGGTTCTTTACGTTTTTATTGAAGTATTGTTCGATGAGTAATATTGGATTTATCATCAAACAATACTTCAACAAAAAAGTTAAGAAACCCTAACCCATCGATCAGTTCTTCTTCCTTGTTTTTTTACCTCTTCTTCTTGAGAGTGCGCGCGCGAGAGATCAGTGGTGGCCGGGTGATGATCGGCATACAGACGATGAGACTATTACTTAGGGCAATTAAGAGTGAATATGATCATATACATATACGTTATATATACGCTAATTAAAATAAAACAGTTTTAGTATTTATTTATTAATATAAAAAAATATTTATTAGTTGAAATAAAATGAATTAAAATAAAAGAATTTTTATAAATAAAATGAATTAAAATATAAGAGTTTCTATAAAACTATTAGAACAACTAAAAACAAGTTACGTATAAAAATAAAATAGGTAATTATTTAATGTTTTAGTATTTTAGTATTTATTTATTAATATAAAAAATATATATTAATTGATATAAAATGAATTAAAATAAAAGACTTTCTATAAAACTATTAGAACAACTAAAACAAGTTACGTATAAAAATAAAATAGATAATTACTAACAAAATTATTTACCAAATAATAAAATAAATTACCAATTAAAATTAAATAAGTACTTATTTAATTAAAATTTTATTTAATAAAATAATCTACCAAATAATAAAATAAATTACCAATTAAAATTAAATAGGTAAATTAAAAGTGTAAAGAGTTTTAGTATTTATTTATTAAAATAATAAAACATTTATTAATTGATATGAAATGAATTAAAGTAAAAGAGTTTCAATGTTTCAGTATTTCGATCAGTATTTATTTATTAATATAAAAAAATATTAATTACTTAATATAAAATGAATTAAAATAAAAAAATTTCTATAAATAAATGAATTACTATACTATTATTAAAAGTGTAAAGAGTTTTAGTGTTTCAGTATTTCAGTATTTTTTTATTAATATAAAGAAATTTTTATTAATTGATATAAAATGAATTAAAATAAGTGTTTCAGTAGTATTTCAGTATTTTAGTATTTTTTTAATTGATATAAAATGAATTAAAATAAAAGAGTTTCTACAAATAAAATGAATTATCTATATTGTGACGTTTCCAATTTTCAGTATTTTTCATTTTTTTGGAAGTTGTGTCGCCGTAAGGGCATTTATGTCATTTCACGTTTTGTGTACGGGATTGTGGTTGGGTCCAATTGCTTTTGTGCATTTTAAATTTATATGTTTATGTGGTGTTTATCTAGTGGTGCATGTATTGTAATATGTGGTGCAAATTGAGACTAATGAAAAATGGAAAAGAAAAGGAAATTCATGAGACCCACCACCACCAACTTTAAAGCCTTGAGACCACATTTTTGGTCTCTATCTTCTCTCTCCCCGCTGGTTTCCCTTCTTGCTCCATTTCCTTTTCATTTTCTTTCTCTTTTACATTAAACTTTGTATCATGATTACTCTCTCAATTCTTGAAGTTTTTAAGTGCCGTTTGCGGCTAAACGGAGAGCACGACGAGCTCTACTCGTGAGTACCAACGATTTCAGCTTTGAGCCTCCCTAGGAAATTCGAAATTAGGGACCCATTTGAAGGGTTTTGCATCAACTTGAGGTAAGGGCTCTTAATCCATGATGTTCTTGTGCTTTAGTGAGTTAGCTCATCTTAAATGGTTAATTAACATG